CCTAAGCTCTTAATACCATCTCAGAAACAAGAAGTGATTGAACTATGAAACATTGGAGTACAAGTATTAACCCTAGAGTTGTGTACCCCCTAAAGGCTAACCCACTATAGTCCTACACAACAATAACATATAGATAATTTTTGACATCATGATCTGGCGGAACTGTTCGTCGGTGCGGTGTAGTATCGTTGATGGTGCCGCCACGACGCCGGTCGGCACAATTCCTGCCCACAAAGCCACCGAGTATTTTTAGTTTGACGGTGTCGACTTCAAAGTGACATGGACAGAGGTTGGCGGTGTCGACAAACTTACTTGACGTCCCTCTCGTTCGTGTGCGGACCATGAACCGCACCTCCGATCTGACCACCGAGATCTCCTGCATGATGCTCAGCTCCTTCTCCCGGTAGAGCGTCGCCTCCACTCTCGCCGCCATCTGGCATGCCTTTATGCGCACAAGGAGCGTGTGCACCATTGTACCTTGCACAGGCTGGGTTCGCGAGGCATTGTTCCCCTCCTCGATTGACTCGGCATCGAGCTTACACTCACGTATCATGAACTTCACGTAGGCCGCGCATCCGGATTTCGGTTACCCTAGGGCCGTGCAGCCAGATGTACTCCCGGGGGACCTCGGCCACTTTGTCCCAATTCTTCTTCTTGTTGTCCCGGATGTAGTGGCCGATCTCGTCGACGTGCCTAAGCCTGTGCTCCCTGGGGAAGCTTGTCGCGTATTTGCATCAGCATTTTCGCCGCCCACCTCTTGTAGTGGTAGATGAACGAGGTGTACAGCCTCAGCGTGCTATTCTTCTCCAAGGTTTGTAGGTGGCGTAGGGCGTCTATGACCAGCACGTCGATCCATGCCTAAACCATGTCGTCCTCGACGAAGTCTGCCGCTCTCCACTGTTCGCGTGGCACCGCCATGTTTCTGCTCGTCCTCCTCCTCATCCTTTTCGAGCAGGTTATCTATGTATTCAAGTTCCCGCCGGAGGCATTCTTCCAAGGTGCGCGGATTCGTGCTACGCGGAGGACGCTCGTCGTATGCATCGTTGCTCCTCCTCCTCCTCCTCCTCCTCCTCCTCCTCCTCCTCCTCCTCCTCCTCCTCCTCCTCCTCCTCCTCCTCGTCATCAACCTGGTTTCCTGAGCCGGCAGGTACCGCGACGAAGGTCCAGGCTGCCCATCTTGCGTCAGGGTCGACTTACTAGCTGGCTTCATAAACTCCCCTATCGGCGGTGGGGGAATGTCCTTGGTGCCTTCTGGAATCTGTATCAGTGCGTCAAGATCGTAGAGTAACTTGAGCGTCTCTTCGGGGGTAGAGGTCTGATTGTGGTCGGTTGGGGGACCAACGTCGGCCATGTCGACGTCGGCCATGCGGCCGCTCGTAGTTTGCTATACCGTCGACCGTGTTTGAGGTAAAGGATGGACCACCAGAGACGGTACTGAGTCGCGCGGTGCAGTGTACACCCAATGAGTTGCTCAGGCGGCTTCGTCGGATTCTCTCTCAAGTGCTTCTAACTCAGCGGCAAGCTCGAGGCGTTCCAGCTGCGCTTTGATGTCGGCGTCTACAGAGTCGGCATGGGGTGGGATGGGTTGCGGCTGTTGGGCTCTAGGCCGTCCTCTGGCCATGCGTCGCCGACCTAGTTAGTTTCTGTCGTCCCGTCTTGCTTGGTCGGTAGAGCTGTTGATACTATGCCGAGATGCTGCCCTAAAACATCCGACGTCGACGTCGACGCGTTCTGACCGTTCGGTTACCTAAACACCGACCTGAGTAGTGTATGCCAGGTAGACGCTACCGGTGCCGACGTGATCGATTGGTCGGCGCACGAGTAACCCACACTCGTGAAGATAGCTAGGGAGCGGAAAATTCTAAGTGCAAGAGAGAGCAGGAGGGAACGCATGAACGGACAAGGGAATGAGCACCAGCGCAAGGTCACGGAGGGGTATGGTCGTGAGCGACTCCGATTTTGCAGCGCTTCACGCAACCCCCTATGCTTGTGCCGCTATGCATGTGTTTTCGTGCGGCGGCGCAGTGTCCGACGTGTCACGAGCACGCATGGCTAATGGGTCGCCGCGCTGCACTCAAGGGGCGTAAGCCTGGGCACGTCCACGGTGGAATGTGCGTGCGTTACGTGGCTGGGGCCCATCATTAGTGGCTTCTCTGCAGAAAAGCCGGCATGCCGACTTCCATGGCCTAAGGGCCCGGGATTATTGAAGAGTCGCATGGCAAGCCCACCGTGAGCCCCTCGTGGTCGGCGCCGACTTTCCTTTGGGTGTGTCTTTAGATTCCTTTAACCTAGACAGTGTTAAGGCACTGACCGATGGTGCCGCGTGGCTTGGATTAGGCCGTTGGATCCTTAGTCGACACCGATATGGCGAGCAGCTCGCGATGCCAGACAACTGTAACATTTTTTTACGGGCATATTTTCGCCGCGTGGATCGGCCACCGACAAATTTGGGCGCACAGTCGAGTTCCCGCGCTGAAATCGCGGCTCGACGTGGCGTGCTGTGAGTTTTTGTCCGCTGAGATGTCCTTCTCGGGTTTCTCTCAGCGAAACCAGTTAGGAATACGGGCCAGGAAAATACCAACCCTGAAAATCTCTGAGCTGAGTTGAAACGAACCCTGAATTCTCAGGCCTGCTGTCGAAAAACCCTAACCCCGTTGAGATGTTCTCTCGGGGATACCTCAACGGATTTTGCATCCGTCGCTGGCGTCGCTGGCCCCGGCATGTCGAGCCCAGGGCGATGTTCGGCAGGCCAGGGAATACTGGGGGGGTTGGGGCGAGGGATCCAAAATGACCAGCCTCGCCCCTAGTTGGATGGGTCAACTCTGGGTCCACCAGAGTTGACCCCACGTCCGAGGTCTTGGCGCAAGCGGAGATTCGAGGGGAGCTCGCGGGATGGAAACAACGAGATGGCGGGGGGGATGGAAGCTGCACCGTACAGGAAGAGAAACTTCCACCCTACAAAAGGGTTGTCGCATGCCAAAAACAAATGCCCGACACACTGTACGCATACGTGATCGATCTCACCTTTGGCGGTGTGACGCCGTGATGGGTTGGCAAATGGCGACTATAGCCTGGCTGATAAATAGGGATGGAAGGAGATAAGTGCGGTAGAGGGAGCGAAGTTGAGAGATAGATGTCGAGTGGCGAATGTTGAGAGGGAAGTTGGGTGGGATACCTTTTTGTTTTTTACTTTCTTTTCAGGGTAATGCCATGTTCGATTGGAGGGGATTGACCGCGGGATCTGGCTGGATTCTTCGGTTTTGAGCGGCAGGCCAGGGAATCCAAGTTTCATTCCCCCCCTCTAGTGCGGAGGCTTTCCGCCAAGGGGGGGGTTGTGGGGGGGATGCGGCGCGGGCGACACTCTAGCATGGGGTTCGCGTCGCATTGAAGGCCCACGTTCGGACTGTTTTTCACATTTTTCTTGTCCTGACTGCACTGTTTTGCCTGGTTCTCCAAGGTCGAACCTGGTGGCCCGGCATTTTGATCCTCCCTCAAACCCTCTCCCCTGGCTGCCGAACATCGCCCAGTTTGCAACCCATTCCGTTGCTCGGCGTCATTCATCCCAAGGGGGGGCCAGGTGTTTCCCTCTCATCCAAACCTTCCCTTTGAGATGAACCACTCTGTCGACATCGACAGTCGAGGCGATTCGCCTCAGCAGCACCCCACCCCGTGTCCCCCAAATTGCGATTCAACGGACGGAGGCGAGATTACAATATCTCTAGGATTGGACCAGCGACCGCAGATGCAGCTGCAGCGAACCAGCAATGCTGCGGCCGCTGATCGGAGCGTCAGCGAGGCGCGTTACTCCGACGACGCGACAACCACTACCGGCGACATTTGCGACAAGGAGGAAGGACGCTTGCTGCTCGCAGGGGCATGCGACAATCGCGAAAATGTTGGCGGCGCATCGGCGGCAGATGAAGCGACAGCCGCGGGTGATGGCCACGGCACCAATGCTGCTCTTGCTCCTGCCCCTGCTCCTGCTGCTCCTGCTGCTCCTGCTGCTGCTGTTGGTGATATCCAGGAGGAGGCGGAGGAAGGCGAGAGAGACGACGGAGAGCCGAGTCTGTGGTCAGCATTGACGTTCGCATGGGTGGGTCATGTGCTGCCTGCTCGACTTTTGAGACGTCTCAAAAGTCATGCGCTGCCTGCTCGGCTGGCTGCTGCCCGGTTGCATCCAAGTCACTCGCTTTCTTCCTTGCTTCCTTCGGCGTAGCTTAGGCAGCTTACCAGCGTCAGCGGGCCTCTCATTCCCAATTCCGCCCACTCCCTCCCCTTCCCCCTCCCCTTCCCCATGCACAATGAAACCAACCAATGCCGCGCGCGGGTGACTCCCACAATGCGCCTGGGCTCGCACACAATGCTGCAGCTGGCGGACCTCCCGCCGCCCCTCCCTTCCCCCCCCCTTTCCCCCTCCCTTCCCCATGCACATTGAAATCAACCAACCAATCATGCGAGCAGGTGACCCCCATTATGCGCCTGGGCGCGCACACAACGCTGCAGCTGGCGGACCTCCCCCCACCCCCGCGCACCTGGCGCGCGGATTGGCTGGACGCGCAAACGGCATGCATCATGGACGGGGAGCAGGGGGAAGGGGGCGGAAGGAGGAGGAGTATTTTGAAGGGGAGGGGGAGGAGAGGGGGCGGAAGGAGGAGTATATTGAAGGGGAGGGGGAGGAGAGGGGGCGGAAGGAGGAGGAGTATATTGAAGGGGAGGGGGAGGAGAGGGGGCGGAAGGAGGACGAGCAGTGTGAAGGGGAGCAGGGGGAAAGGCGGGCGGGGAGGGGAAGCGGTCAGTTGGTGGTGTCGGGCGGATGGAAGGCAGGGGGCAGGGGCAGAGGGAAGTGGCCGTTTTGGGCTGTTCTGTATTGGCCGCACCGGTGGGCGCTGTTGCTGCTCGCAGTGATGTTTCTCGGGGAGTCGATGCTGCATGTCGTCAAGGCCGTGCTTCTGTATCGCATAGTGAGTGCGTGCATGCATGTGTGAATTGTGCGTATTGTGTGAACAGAGAGTCTCTTACAACCTCATCATTCCCATAACCATACCCCTCCTCCTCCTTTCCCCCACTCGCGCTCACCCTCCCATCAATCTCCCGTCCCCCCTCCTTGCCCTCCACCAGATCGCCTTCCTGGAAGCGTGTGACAGCAGTAGCAGCAGTGACGGCAGCAGCTGTGTGGAAGGGCAGTGCGGGTCCATTGAAGGGTATCTCACGGCAGCAGGGCTGGGCGCACTGGCCGTGGCGCTGGCCGTGGCGACCCAGCACCTGTGCTACCGCGCATACGTCTCCCCTCCCCCTTCCGACCCCTCCACCAGGTCACCTACCTGGAAGGGTGTGACAGCAGCGGCGGCAGTGACAGCAGCAGCAGCAGCAGCGGGGAAGGGCAGTGCGGCCCCACCGAGGGTTATCTCACAGCAGCAGGGCTGGGCGCACTAGCGGTGGCGCTGGCAGTGGTGACCCAGCAGCTGTGCTACCGCGCATTATGTTGTGTCCACCAATACACGCACGGCCGCCATCAGCGCAGGTAAGAAGAGGGAGCTTATGAGTCGCTTCAAAAGTGGCAGTGGCGCTGGCTAAGGTGACCCAACAGTTGTGCTACTGCGCATATGTTGTCTCCTCTCCACCAACACTCGCACCGCTGCCATCAGCGCAGGTGAGGTTGCCATCCACACCTTTTGGGTCAGAAGGTGACTTTTGGGTCAGAAGGTGACTTTTGGGTCAGAAGGTGACTTTTGGGTCAGAAGGTGACTTTTGGGTCAGAAGGTGACTTTTGGGTCAGAAGGTGACTTTTGAGTCGACTCGACTTTTGAGTCGACTCAAAAGTCCCATCCACATTGGTCAGAATCCCTCTGGTGCTTTTCGCCCATCCCCTCACCTCCTTCCCCCAACTGTCCCCCTTGCCCCCATCCGCTTCCTCCTCTCCCACTCCCCGTGTTGTTGTCTCTAGTCCTATACCTTTCCACCCGCAGCCCAAGCTCCCAGCCTCTGCCACCCAAACTCGGCCAAACTGCTTTTGCTTATTTTCGCCCATCCCCCCACCCTTCCCCCAACTGTTCTCCCCACACCGGTCTTCCTCCCCTTCCCTCCCACACGTTCCATCTCCTTCTCTTCCCCTGCAGTGCACCGCCACCTCCTCACACTCACCGCCAGCGCGCTGAGCCACGTCAGCAGTGGGCACTGTATCAAACCTGCTGTCCAATGACTGTGCGCCGATTGGACGACCTGGTGTTCTGCAGCCAGGCGCTCTGGGTGGTGAGGCGAAGTGCACGATTGGGAGTGGTGCCAGGGATGGGGGATGGGGAATGGGGCTGTCTGGGGAAGGGCTTTGGAATGGAGTGGCATGGAGTGGGGTCTGCGGTGGTGGGTGAAGGAGACGAGAAGAGGGAGTGGATAGGAGCAAGGTCAAGAACAATGCGGCTGCCTTTACCCTAAACCCATTCGAGCAACGCTGCTTGCCTTTCTTGTGACTGACTGCCTGCCTTCACTTCACACATTCTCCGTATTCCTGTGTGCCTGCGTCCCTGGTTGCTTGTCTTGCTGTCCTGTTTCCGTTGTTACGCAGGCCCCAATAGAACTCGTGATTGTCAGTGTCACCTGGCTGATTGTGAGGCGCGGAAATACAGACTCCCTGCGTACGTATTGCTTTCCTGTTTCCGTCGTTGTGCAGGCTCCAATTGAGCTTGTGTTGGTCACGTGGCTGGTAGCGAGGAGATTGGATGGGTGCCCACCATCGCTGGGCATTGCCACTCAACTGCTGCTTCTTCCGCTACAGGTTCGTCCTCTGAAACTTGGCTATGGTAGAGCTTGTGGTTGTCACGTGGCTGATATTGAGGGATATCGATCGGATGGGTGCCCACCATCGCTGGCATTGGCACGCATCTGCTGCTGCTTCCGCTCCAGGTGCGTGGTTGTCACTGGCATTCGTGGTTTGGCCCCCCTCTCTCTTTCTCAAATGGTCCTTATATGTGTAGTGGAAGCTGGGTGCTACAAGGCTAAGAATGTCCCCTCGCTAGTGTGCCTGTGCCTGCAATGCAAGCATGCCTGGTTGCCCCCTCACACCTTGTCAGCTGCTTCCTTTCTCCCACATGCACGCTGCTCTCTCCCTCCCAAACAACCGAGCAATACCAGCTGGCATGTGGGAAGTGGAGGGTGTGGCTGCGGGCAAAAACTGCGGAGGCCACTGATGCACGCGTCAAGCACACAGAAGAGGTGGGCGGTTGGGGAGGAGGGAGAGGGAAAGAGTGGGGATGGGGGAGGGGACGAGGAGGGTTGGATGGGGGAGGGGAGGAGAGGGGTTGGGTGAGGGAGGGGAGGAGAGGGGTTGGGTGAGGGAGGGGACGAGAGGAGTTAGAAAGATATGTTCTCGACCTGTCATTGGAATTGCACTGCAGTATGGCATATCCTTGGCCTCTCACGTGCCTGCCTTGTGTTCCCCTCGTAACATCCTTCAACTCCCGTCCGATCTCACTCACTCACTCACCCATTTCCTTGCCCCACAACAGGCTCTGGGCGGCATCCTGACTGTGAAGACGCTGGCTCTGGAAGGCATGCTCCTAACATCCTTCAATTCTCGTCCCCTCTCACTCACCCAACAACCCCACCTACCCACTCACCCATTTCCTTGCCCCACAACAGGCTCTGGGCGGCATCCTGGCTGTGAAGGACGCGTGGCTCTGGAAGGCATGCTCCTAACATCCTTCAATTCTCGTCCCCTCTCACTCACCCAACAACCCCACCTACCCACTCACCCATTTCCTTGCCCCACAACAGGCTCTGGGCGGCATCCTGACTGTGAAGACACTGGCTCTGGAGGAGCCGCTCACATCAATCATCCAACGAATCAGACGCACAGAAGTGTCCTTGTGAGTCCATCCCCCTCCAACTCCCACCACTTTTGCCCTCCCTATCCCCTTCCCACCCCTCCCTCATTTGTTCCAAGCCTTTTCCTCTCCCTTTTCGTCCCTCTCACCCTCGCCCGCCCCTCCACCCCCCCTCGCTCTCAAACAGTCCTTGTCATTGACTCCGCACCTAATCAGAATCAGCATTCGCTCCTTCCGTCCACTTTTGAGTCGACTCAAAGCAGAACCCCTCTCTCTCTCGAACAGTCCTTGTCATTGACTCCGCTCCTAATCAGAATCATCATTGGCTCCCTCGTCTTCTCATTCACCTCGTTGGTTGCTTCTGAGGCGCCCCAATACTCCCCTCCATCCGCCCCGCCCTTCCTTATGCCAGCCTGCAGTGGACAGCCGCCCTCAACGCCGTGATGGACGCTTTTTGAGCCGCCTAAAAAAGCATCCCTCCACCCTCCCTGCCCTGCACCCTCCATCCGCCCCGTCCGTCCTTCTGCCAGCCTGCAGTGGACAGCCGCCCTCAACGCCATGATGGCTGCACTCTACTTCTCATTCACCTCTGTGGTTGCTTTGAGTCGTCTATTAATCCCCTCCATCCTCCCGTTCCCCTCCTTTCTACCAGCCTGCAGTGGACAGCCGCCCTCAACGCCGTGACGGCTGCACTCTACTTCTCATTCACCTCCGTGGTTGCTTTTGAGTCGTCTATTAATCCCCTCCATCCTCCCTTTCCCCTCCCGTATACCAGCCTGCAGTGGACAGCCGCCCTCAACGCCGTGACGGCTGCGCTCTAACTTCTCATTCACCTCCGTGGTCGCCCTCGTCACCTTCGCCACCTTCACGTGCCTCGGAGGTCAACTCACCGCAGCCTCTGTGTTCTACGTGCTTACTCTCCTCGAGGTGCGCTGCACCTCTCCTTGCTTTTATGCACCTTGATCGAGCCATCCGAAAGGACAGCTGCATCTCTCACAGCGTGTCTCAGAGGGCACCTCTCACGGCGGCCGATGTGTTCTACATGCTCGCTCACGTTCCTCCAGGTACGTCTTTCCTTGCTTCCGTGCCCCTCAGCCGAGCGCTCAAGCTTCGTGCTAACTCTGTTCTTAAGGCGCCTCATAAACACCCTCACGTGCCTCGGAGCGGAGGCCAATTCACGACGGCCGCTGTGTTTTACATGCTGCGCTCACGCTCCTCGGGGTGCGTCTTTCCTGGGGCCTTAGTCGAGCAGAGTTGACGGGGATACATACGCGTGCACGTGCTCTCACAACAGTGCTGGCCATTCATGAAAGCGCGTGGGGGAGTGGATTGAAAGCGCGTGGGGGAGTGGATTGAATGCGCGTGGGGGAGTGGATTGAATGCGCGTGGGGGAGTGGATTGAATGCGCGTGGGGGAGTGGATTGAATGCGCGTGGGGGAGTGGATTGAATGCGCGTGGGGGAGTGGATTGAATGCGCGTGGGGAGTTGGATTGAATGCGCGTGGGGGAGTGGATTGAATGCGCGTGGGGGAGTGGATTGAATGCGCGTGGTGGAGTGGATTGAATGCGCGTGGGGGAGTGGATTGAATGCGCGTGGGGGAGTGGATTGAATGCGCAGTGGGGGAGTGGATTGAATGCGCGTGGGGGAGTGGATTGAATGCGCGTGGGGGAGTGGATTGAATGCGCGTGAGGGGAGTTGGATTGACTGCGCGTGGGGGAGTGGATTGAATGCGCGTGGGGGGAGTGGATTGAATGCGCGTGGGGGAGTGGATTGAATGCGCGTGGGGGAGTGGATGAATGCGCGTGGGGGAGTGGATTGAATGCGCGTGGGGGAGTGGATTGAATGCGCGTGGGGGAGTGGATTGAATGCGCGTGGGGGAGTGGATTGAATGCGCGTGGGGGAGTGGATTGACTGCGCGTGGGGGAGTGGATTGAATGCGCGTGGGGGAGTGGATTGAATGCGCGTGGGGGAGTGGATTGAATGCGCGTGGGGGAGTGGATTGAATGCGCAGTGGGGGAGTGGATTGAATGCGCGTGGGGGAGTGGATTGAATGCGCGTGGGGAGTGGATTGAATGCGTTGCTCAACGGCGCGTGGGCTGCTGGCCATTGTGCACTGTTGAAAATTGTTGAGGCGCCTCAACAATCGGGGGGGACTGAGTTGAGTGGGATGGTCCATGTCATCGTGCACCGTTGCTTCTCTGTAAACAGTCCTCTTAACATGCCCCACACTTCCCTTCCTCCCCTCCCTCCGTTCCCTCCGCTCCTCGCTCCGTTCCCTCCTCCCCTCCATACCATATCCCCGCAGATCCCGCACTACACCATGGGGTGGAAGGTGGCCTACGGCATACAGCAAATAGCAGAGGCGTTTGTCAGCTTCAAGCGACTCTCACACTTCCTGCAGGTCAGAACTTCCTGCAGGTCGGCATGCAGGAAGCAGCATGCTCTTTGCTGTTGCCTTTTGAGGCACCTCAAAAGTCAGCATGCGGGAAGCAGCATGCTCTTTGTTGTTGCCAACCCACCCACCCACCCACCCTTCTCTTGTCTTTTCACCGCCTATAGTTACCGACCAACACGTTTGCAGCGATTCTTCTTGACTCGACTCGACTCCAAACCACGCACCATTTCTCTCGGATTTTTCACCGCCTGTCGTTATCAACGCGTTTCAGCGCACGCCCTGTTGAGTGGTTGGAGCACTACAAATGCCGTCCAGGTGGGTGGGTGGATACAAATAACGGTTGCAATGTTGTGATGAGGTCCGATTGGTGATGAGGTCCGATTGGTGATGAGGTCCGATTGGTGATGAGGTCCGATTGGTGATGAGGTCCGATTGGTGATGAGGTCCGATTGGTGATGAGGTCCGATTGGTGATGAGGTCCGATTGGTGATGAGAGAAAGCCTCAATATACCTCGATGTGCATGGGTGGGTGGGTAGGTGGGTGGGTGGATAGATGGGTGGGTGCGATGAGTGGCTCATCCAGCTTACTGAATGCCGTCTCATCCCCGTTGCCTGCCTCTACATGTACCTCCCTGTGCGTGCCACCTCCCTGTGGGTGCCACCTCCCTGTGCGTGCACCTCCCTGTGCGTGCACCTCCCTGTGCGTGCCACCTTCACTCCAACAGACCACTCCCCACGGAGCCAGGCCGCAAGAAGCGCCATCTCAGAATGGCTCTGCTATGCTCCCAAAAGCGCGCCGCTATGCCATTGACACCCCAACCACCACCAAGCCACCTGAATCAACAACTGCTGCTCTCACAGCACCGAGTCTCCAGTCTACAGTACCAAGTATACACCCCCCAGCACCGAGTCTCCAGTCCTCACCATCCTCAGAGCTCGCCTCACTGCCCAGCCACAGCCTCTCCTCCTCTTCTCTCCACACGCCTTCCCTGTCCCCGCCGTGCTGCCTTGGTGCTTGAATGGGCCTCTTTCGCTTGGGGAGAAGCAGCTGGGGAGGTTAAGCGCGAGGGGAAGAGGGAGAGCGAAAAAAAAGGAGGAAAGAGATTCAGAGGAAGGAGGAAAAAGCCACCGCTTGAGGCGATTGCTGAGTCGACTCAAGCATCGGCCGGGCATGTTCTGGATGTCACTGAGCCTAGCACGGTAGATGGCACGCCTTATGGCAAGGGCTACATGAGCAGTGTCAGGAGTTTCCGACGCGTCCCCAAAGCTTTCCGCGTGCGTTCCCTGCAGCGTTTAATGAGCTTTCATGCTCCTGGCCCTTCCCCCGCTGTTGGCCCTTCTGCTGCGGATGCTTCTGCTGATGCTGCTGGTGCTGCTGCCTTGGAGGGCACGTGTGTGACTGCACGGGAGGAGCAAGAGGGACATGTTGAGATAGACGGTGCATGCGCACCGAGCGGGCGGGTGGAGGGAGTGAGCGTAAGGCTGGGAGAGGCAGAGCTGCTGGGCGTCACTGGCAAGGTGAGAGGGAGAGGTCGTGGGATTCACTGGCAAGGTGAGAGGGAGAGGTCGTGGGAGTCACTGGCAAGGTGAGCAGGAGAGGTCGTGGGAGTCACTGGCAAGGTGAGAGGGAGAGGTCTTGGGAGTCACTGGCAAGGTGAGAGGGAGAGGTCGTGGGAGTCACTGGCAAGGTGAGCGGGAGAGGTCGTGGGAGTCACTGGCATGGTGAGTGGGAGAGGTCGTGGGAGTTACTGGCAAGGTGAGCGGGAGAGGTCGTGGGAGTCACTGGCAAGGTGAGAAGGGAGAGGTCGTGGGAGTCACTGGCAAGGTGAGAGGGAGAGGTCGTGGGAGTCACTGGCAAGGTGAGAGGGAGAGGTCGTGGGAGTCACTGGCAAGGTGAGAGGGAGAGATCGTGGGAGTCACTGGCAAGGTGAGAGGGAGAGGTCGTGGAAGTCACTGGCAAGGTGAGAGGGAGAGGTCGTGGGAGTCACTGGCAAGGTGAGAGGGAGAGGTCGTGGGAGTCACTGGCAAGGTGAGCCCGCTGCTTGCTGCTTGCGTGCTGCCCGCTGCTTGCGTGCTGCCCGCTGCCCGCTGCTTGCTGCTTGCCCGCGGCCTGCTATTGCCTGCTATGGAATGCTCTTGCTTGCAGCATGCGTGTTCATTGTGTGTGTTGTGCGCCTCTGGCTGTCACAGGCTGCTGTGCTGCCTGCTGTGCTGCCTGCTGTGCTGCGTGTTGTGCTGCCTGCTGTGCTGCCTGCTGTGCTGCCTGCTGTGCTGCCTGCTGTGCTGCCTGCTGTGCTGCCTGCTGAGTATCGCACTTGACTGTAATGCAGGCTTCAAGAAAACACCGCTGTGATCATGCTATTTACACTGCCTCCCACCCCACCCTTTCCACCTCGCAGACGGGCAGTGGCAAGTCGTTGCTGCTGCTGGGTATTCTGGGGGAAGTGCCTCACTCATCGGGCGCCATGCACCGCTCCGTGCCTTCCCTCGCCTACGCATCGCAGCAGGTCTGCCTCCCATTTGCCGCTCAACCTTTGCTTCTCGTCTCTCTCTCACCCCTTCCCCACCCACTCGTCTCTCATCCTTTGCCACCCTTTGCCAGTGACCTGATGTGTGTCAGCCTTTCCCTTCCACGCACAAGGCACATCCCTGTGTTGTGTCCTCCCGTACCTCTTTGACTCACTTCTGCATATTACAACCTACCACCAACCACCTTCCTCTCTCTCACAACCCCTCCTCTCCCCTTTCCCCCGTGTGCGTCTATGCCACCAGCCTTTCCTCATTGAGGGGACGGTGCGAGACAACATCCTATTCGAGTTTTGCATCGACTAAAACCTCCCCCACCCTACCCCTCCTCTCCCCTTTCCCCCGTGCGTCTATTCCACCAGCCTTTCCTCATTGAAGGCACGGTGCGAGACAACATCCTATTCGGTACAACGCTACACAAGGCTCTCTATGCTAAGGTACACTGCATGCCAAGAAAGGTCTGAACTGATTCTGTCTTGCGTTTGAACGTCTCTTAAGGCTCCCCTCTGCCGTCCCATTTCCCCGTCGCCCACTCCTCCCCTTTGCCCTCTCCTCCCCTTTGCCCTCTCCCCCCCCCCTTTGCCCTCTCCTCCCCTTTGCCTTCTCCTCCCCTTTGCCCTCTCCTCCCCTTTGCCCTCTCCTCCCCCTTGCCCTCTCCTCCCCTTTGCCCTCTCCCCCCCCCTTTGCCCTCTCCTCCCCTTTGCCCTCTCCCCCCCTTTGCCCTCTCCTCCCCTTTGCCCTCTCCTCCCCGCCTCCATCTCCTCGCCACTCTCTCTCATTCTGCTAGTTATCGTCTCTGAACGTCTACCAATGCCCTCTTCCCCCTCGCTCACTCTGCTGCCCTCCCCCACTCAAGGTGGTGGATGCGTGTGTCCTGTCCTGTGCTCAAACGTTGGACTTCTGAGGTGCCTTAAACGTCGTCCCCATTGCACTCTCCTCCCCGCTCTCTCTTGCTCCCCTATCTCCCTTCTCCCCCCCCCCCCCCCCCCCCCCCCCTCTCACTTGCTATCTCCCTCCCCCACTGAAGGTGTTGGACGCCTGTGCCCTCCGCACGGACTTGGCCCTAATGCCACGTGGCGATGAATCATTGGTGGAGGAGGGCGGCGGCAACCTCAGTGGCGGGCAAAGGGCGCGCATGTCGCTCGCCCGGGCGGCGTATGTTGCACTGCACTGCAAGATGACCTTTGAGTCGACTCTAAAGTCACCCCGGGCAGCATATGCCACACCTCAGGCACACACTGATGGCAATGGCGGCAGCAATAGCGGTAGCAGCAGTGGAAACAGTGGTGGTAACAATAGCAGCAGCAATAGAACTAGCAGCAGCAGCCGGAGTGCGCCCCCACCCGTGCTGGTCCTCCTAGACGACCCTCTTGCCGCGTTGGATCCAGCCGTTGCCAGCCACGTGTTTCAGCAGTGCGTGTGTGGGCTGCTGGCAGGGCTGCCCCGGATTGTCGTCACTCACCACGTGCAGTACCTTGGGAGGTATGGTGATGGGTGTGGGGGAAGGGAAGGGGATGGAGAAAGGGTGGGTTTGGATGGAGCAGACGATTGATGAGGGAGGAGAGACGGAAATTATCTGTTGCATTGCATCCCATACAATACAACTGTGCATACTGTTTCGTGTGCATACTACAATTGTTTCGTGTGCATACTACAATTGTTTCGTGTGCATACTACAATTGTTTCGTGTGCATACTACAATTGTTTCGTGTGCATACTACAATGGTTTCGTGTGCATACTACAATTGTTTCGTGTGCATACTACAATTGTTTCGTGTGCATACTACAATTGTTTCGTGTGCATACTACAATTGTTTCGTGTGCATACTACAATTGTTTCGTGTGCATACTACAATTGTTTCGTGTGCATACTACAATTGTTTCGTGTGCATACTACAATTGTTTCGTGTGCATACTACAATTGTTTCGTGTGCATACTACAATTGTTTCGTGTGCATACTACAATTGTTTCGTGTGCATAGTACAATTGTTTCTCCCTCTGTCTTTCCTCTGCTCCCCTCCCTCTCCCTCATCCCCAGCTGCCACAGAGTGTTGGTGCTGAACAGCGGCAGAGCAGCGGCGTGTGGCGCATGGAGTGACCTCTGCGCCCTGCCCTCTGCTCAACAAAACTGCGACAACCCCCCTCTGCCCTTTGCACAACTTCTGAAGCCCCTCAAAGCTTTTGAGGCACCTCAAAGCACATGGAGTGACATATGCACCCTGCCCTCTGCGCAACAACACTGTGACCATCCCCCTCCGGCACTGGGGCAACCTCTCTCTGGTGGGAGGGGTGTTTCAGACACTGGCTCTGACAGTGCCATGTGTGCCACTGTCACTGTTTCTGGTACGGTCGTCTGTGCCCCTGTCACCACTGACACGGGTGTGGACGGCACGATTGCTGATTCACGGAGCTGCAAAAGCGGCACCACGGTGGTCTGCAGCAGCAAACGTGACACTGGCTCTGACAGTGCCATGTGTGCCACTGTCACTGGCGGTGACTGTGCTGCTGCTGGCAATGCAACTGTCACCACTAACACGGGTGTGGACGGCACCGTTGTTCATTCACAGAGGTGCAAAACTGGCGACACAGCGGGCAGCAGCAGTGGCAGCTGTGTAGATCGTGGCACAGGCAGCGAGAGAGACACAGATGCGCCAACAGTCGGCACGAGGGGCTGCAGGGTGGGCATTCATGGGGACTCGTCGGTGAGAGGAAGCGAGGAAAGGGCAGAGGTGGAGCAGGCAGAGGCTGCGGCCCTCATTGGGACAGGGGATGAGGTGGAGAAGATTCAGTTGACTAAGGACGGCATTCATAGAAACACGTCATTGAGAGGAAGTGAGAAAGAGGTGCTCTTAGGGACAGAGGCTGAGGTGGAGACAGCGGAGGTGGGGAAGGGAGTGGTAGACGCATGCAGGGAGGGGGAGCGTGTCTCACTTGAGGACCAGGCTGCTGAGGGCTCGTTGTGCAAGTCAAGAGAAGGACCATTAGCAGCAGAGAGTTACTCCCTCTTTCGGAGGGGGGAGGGAGAGCAGGAGGAGAGTGGGTCCACAGAAGGTGATGAGCAAGGTAGGCATGCAAACGTAGGCATGCAAACGTAGGCATGCAAACGTGTGCGTGGCTTTCCACTGCCTGTCCCACGCGATCATGTGTGTTTCCATGCTCCCCCCTGTCCCATCCGACGCTAACCCCAATCGCTGTGTGTGCCTGCAGGCCTGCTGGACGTGGAAGGGTGGCAGCGCGGTGCCATCCCCCTGTTGGTGTTTTGGGGCTACGCCAGAAAGATCCGCGTGCTGCCTCTGCTGCTCTTTGCCGCCCTCTTCCTCGCCGCACACGTCTCCAACGCCCTCGTCAGCTGGTGAGGAAATTCCTCCCTCACGCTCCCTTTCTCTCTCATGCACGCCCCCCCATCACCTCCTCTCGCCATCCCCTCCCCCACTTCTCACCCTCACGGCCATCGCCCCCTCCTGTATGGCCCTCTCGCCTTCTCGTCTCACTGCTCATCCACGCCTCCTGTGTGCCTCTTCCATCGGACATCTGCCCATCCCTCCTGCTCCATGCTTGATGACTCTTGCCCCTCCTCCCCTCCCCTCCCATCCCCTCCCCTCCCCTCCCCTCCCCTCCCCTCCCCTCCCATCCCCTCCCCTCCCCTCCCCTCCCCTCCCCTCCCCTCCCCCCCCCTCCCCTCCCCTCCCCTCCCCTCCCCTCCCCTCCCCTCCCCTCCCCTCCCCTCCCCTCCCCTCCCCTCCCCTCCCCTCCCCTCCCCTCCCCTCCCCTCCCCTCCCCTCCCCTCCCCTCCCCTCCCCTCCCCTCCCCTCCCCTCCCCTCCCCTCCCCTCCCCTCCCCTCCCCTCCCCGCCCCTCCCCTTCCCTCCCCGCCCCTCCCCTCCACCCCGGAGGCCTGTGGACGGAGGAGCCTGAGACCACACCGCACCCGCTTGCCACCCTCACGGCCATCGCCCTCTCCTGCGTGGTCCTCTCCCTCCTCGCCTCGCTGCTCCTCCACTTTGCCGCGCTGCGCGCCTCCTCCCGCATGCACTCACTCATGCTTGCCTCCGTGCTCGCCTAGCCGCTTGCCTTCTTCCACCGCAACCCACATCTCTCTCCTCTAATCCCCTCCGCTCCCCTCCCCCCCAAGGTTCCTGGGCCTGTGGACAGAGGCGCCGGAAACCACACCGCACCCACTGGTCACGCTGGCAGCCATCGCCCTGTCCTGTGTGGCCCTCTCCCTCCTCTCCTCGCTGCTCATCCACTTCGCCGCGCTGCGCGCCTCCTCCCGCATGCACTCACTTATGCTTTCGTCCGTGCTCGCCTCGCCGCTGGCCTTCTTCCACCGCAACCCCACGGGCCGCGTGCTGAACCGGTTCAGTGAGGACCTCGGGGTTACCGATGATGTGCTGCCCCAGCTGCTGCTGGATTTTCTGAATGTGAGTTGAGAGTGAGACTCAATAGTCACCCCACTCGCGTTATTTTACTGCAACCCAACCCAACCCCACGGGCCGCGTGCTGAACCGCTTCAGTGAGGACCTCGGGGTGACTGACAATGTGCTTCCGCAGCTGCTGCTGGACTTCCTCAATGTGAGTCGAAGGGTCGAGAGAGGGGTGGGGGAGCGTGATGGAGGGAGGGAAGATTGAGGAGGGTTCAAAACGAGTTAGGGGTTTCATGTCAGCTGGATACCATGTGAATACACAAAGTTACTCCCACCATACTCCCAGTCACCCACTCTCCCATCTCCATTCTCCATCATCCCACTCCCGCTAAACCCGTACTATCCTTCCCGTCCTCCACTTGCCTGCAGCCCTTCGGCCTGTGCGTTGCCGCAGTGGTATCAGCATGCATAGCTGTGCCGTGGATACTCATCCCCATGCTGCCGCTGCTGCTGCTGCTGCTGCACTTGCGGCATCTGTATGTGTGCACGGCAATGGAGGTCCGACGTATGGAATGCACCACTCGCTCCGTGCTGCTCGCCCGCTTCCTCACCACCATGGAGGTGAGCTGTGTTCTGAGTCGACTCAAAACAATGCTGCTGCTGCTGCTGCACCTGCTGCTGCACCTGCGGCATCTGTATGTGTGCGCTGCCATGGAGGTCCGCCGCATGGAGTGCACAACACGCTCCGTGCTGCTCGCCCGCTTCCTCAACACCATGGAGGTGTGAATTCCAAGTTGTTCTTCATCCCTCCCTCCCGCTTCCTCACCACCACGCACGCACGCATGCACACACCCACCCACCCACGCACGGACTCACTCACTCACTGAGAGAGGCAGACAACGCCCACTCATCCACTGTTACATCCTCTGCACTTCCCAAGCTCACCTCTCAAGTCTCTACTCCCCTTCCCCTTCCCCGTTCCCCCATCCGAGCCTCTCCCACCAGCACCGCTTCCACCGCCTCTTCCTTGGCCACATCACCGCCAACGCCAGCCCGAACCTATTCTGGCCGGAGCTTGAGGAAGGCGGTTGACTTCCCATCCCATGCCAGCCACCGTGTGTCCCAACAGCAAGTCTATACCCCCTTCCCACTCATCCCTTCTCCCCGCAGCGCTTCCCAAACTTGCCACGAAATCTTTACTCCCTACCCCTCTTCCCCCCTCTCAGGGCCTCCCAACCATCCGAGCCTTTTCCCAGCAGCGCCGCTTCCACCGCCTCTTCCTGCGCCACGTCACCGCCAATGCCACCCCGCACCTATTCTGGATCGCCACGTGGGAGTGGCTGGGCTTCCGATTGGACCTCCTCGTTGCCGCCGCCCTGCTCTCCGCCGCCCTCGCCGCCGTGGCCCTGCGCCACTCGCTGCCGCCCGCCATGGCCGCACTGGCTTTGTCTTATCTGCTGCAGCTGCCGGACTCCCTGCGGTGGGCGCTGCAGTATGGTGTGGAGCTCGAGAACACGGTGAGAGGGGGGGGGAAGGGTGGGGATTGGGGAACAGCCAGGGGTGAGGGAAGGGAGGGAAGGGAAGTCTTCGGACTCCCTGCGCTGGGCGCTGCAATACGGCGTGGAGCTCGAAAACACGGTACTGAAGAGGGTGGGGAGGGTGAGGCAGGGGGGAGAGACAAGGGTGCGTTGCGCTGGCTGTAATGTTTATGGGTGGGATGGAAGTGAGGCAAGGGAAGGGTGCTGGACTCCCTGCGCTGGGCGCTGCAGTATGGCGTGGAGGTGGAGAGCACGGTGAGGGGGGAGGAGAGGGTGAGAGGCGGGAGGGATGTTTGGGGGGGGGCGGCGGGGGGGGAGAGGGGAGGAGGGAGGGCGGCAGGGGTGCAATGGTTGTGATGTTTATTGTTGTGAAGGAAGTGAGGCAAGGGAAGGGTGCTGGATTCCCTGCGGTGGGCGCTGCAGTACGGCGTTGAGCTGGAGAACACGGTGAGGGGAGGTTGGTTGGTTGGAGGGGGTGCGGGGAAAGTGAGGGACAGAAAGGCTGCCAGACTCGTTATGGTGGGCGCTGCAGTACGGCGTTCTCACTCATGGTGGAAGGGCAACAGTACTAGTGAAACGCTTTAGCAAGTAAGAAAAAGAGTAAAAAAATCCCTAGCTAAGAGAACTCTGATCGCAAGAACTGAAATCACTCAATCAGAACAGGTCGCAAACATGTTTCGGCAAGGCGGGAGAACCCGCCAAGCCTTCATCAGTGCTTCTGAACACAAAGATATCCAACAGCTAGGCATAGGCTAAGTAATCAACCTACACCGCGAACAGAATTCAAGGTTCCCATCTACCCAGATTGCCTAACAATGGGCATTCGCCAACACAGCACTGGGTAAAAACCCAAGGTTACAAGTGTCAGCCTTCCGTGGTGTCTTCGTCAGGGCTATCGATAAGCCTTGGAAACTTCGCTCGCACGAGTAACTTTTGCAAGTTACGTGCACACCTCCATGCAATGTAGATATTCCCCATATAAAAACCGCGTGAACTGAGACGAGTTTTGAGGCGCCTCAAAACCAGACTCGTTACGGTGGGCGCTGCAGTATGGCGTTGAGCTGGAGAACACGGTGAGGGAGGAGGTGAGGGGAGAGAACGAACACGGTGACAGGGAGAGAACATCGTAAACAGAAAACTTCTCGGTATACTTTGAGGCGAGGGAAGAGGGTGAGGCGAAGGGAGGGAGAGGGTGAAGCTAAGGGAGGGAGAGGGTGAAGCTAAGGGAGGGAGAGGGTGAAGCGAAGGGAGGGAGAGGGTGAAGCGAAGGGAGGGAGAGGGTGAAGCGAAGGGAGGGAGAGGGTGAAGCAAAGGGAGGGAGAGGGTGAAGCGAAGAGAGGGAGAGGGTGAAGCGAAGGGAGGGAGAGGGTGAAGCGAAGGGACAGGATGAGACGAGGCGAAGGGACACGGTGAGGCGAGGAAGCTTTTGATTCTTCTCTGAAAGCCAGTAACTTCCCAACATGTAAACAACCGTGTGTAATGGCAAGGGACCAGGGTGCGAGCTTCGGCAAGGGACCGTGTGTAATGAGCCAAAGTTTGAGGGAACATGTAAAGAATCAGAGCCGGAGAACATGGTAGAGGCAAGGGACCAGGGTGCGAGCGATTGTTGCGATGCTCATGGGTGTGAGGGAAGTGAGGCAAGTGCACCATTAACAAAGGAGCACCGTGGTGGGGTGGGAACCAGGAACGTGCTCCTTCGTTCATGGTGTGCTCTACCGTTCACTCCCTCGTGTTTTGAGTCGACTCAAAACACGACTTCTTCGTTCATGGTGTGCTGCACCGTTCACTCCTTCCGCACCGTGTGCTGATGGAGAAGCAAACACTCTATTGCTCTCTTACGTCTTATGTGACGCTTCACATCACATTCTCATGCACCCATGGGATAGATACTAGAGAGGCAAACACCCTTGTGCTCTCTTACCTCTTATGTGACGTGAAGCAGCTTGATGATGATGCATGCTCGATCTCCACATCCCATTCTCATGCTTGATATGGTTGCGAGAACCGCAGGGGACACGTCCATCTTGTGTTTTTTGAGAATTCTTTGTTTTTTTAGAATTCTGTGTTTTTTGAGAATTCTGTGTTTTTTTATAATTCTGTGTTTTTTTATAATTCTGTGTTTTATTTAGAATTCTGTGTTTTTTTAGAATTCTCAAAAAACACACGTTGCGAGAACCGCAGGGGACACGTCCATCTTGCACTTGCCTAACTCAATAACCTGCATTGTTTCATCCCTGCACCTCTGACACCCCACCCCGTCCATCGCAGTTCACCAGTGTTGAGCGCACACTCGAGTACACCACGCTGCCAGGTGAAGAGTCCGCACCTTGAGGGGCCTCTAGAACCTGCATTGTTGCCTCCCCGCCCTCTGACACCCCACCCCGTCCATGCCAGTTCACGAGTGTTGAGCGCACACTCGAGTACACCACGCTGCCAGGGGAAGAGCCTACACCTGCCAAAAGTAAATCCAAGCATCAGCAGCACAACAAGTGGCAGCAGCTGCAGCAGCAGCAACGACAACAGCAGCAGCAGCAGCAGCAGCAGCAGGAAGGCCCCACCACCAAATCCTCCGTACCCAGCTTGCTGTTCGGAGCACTGCAAACAGCAATCAGGCGCCTGTCCTTTAAGATGGACAACATCATCAAGCCACTATTCTCTCGCAATCCGCCCTTCACCCACTGCCAAGCCACTGATGCAGCACCAAACAGCAAGGAGGAGGAGGAGAGGAACAGCAGAAGCGCCGTTTGCCCCTCGTGGCCGTCAGCAGGGGCAGTGCGAGTGGAGCAGCTGACAGTGCGGTATGGCAGTTCAGGGCTGGCAGTGCTGCGCAGCTTGAGCTTTCAGCTCGCAGGGGGAGAGAAGTGCGGTGTGGTGGGGCGAACAGGTGAGGTGTGGTAAGGCGAACAGGTGAGGCGATCTGTAGGTTTGGCTCTGTGATCCAACATAGCATCATTGGGGCTGGATCAAGGAGGAAAATGCTTCCTTGTTTCTCAGAGATCTCAAACGTGATCTCAGTACACTCGGCATGGATGCATTCTGAGATTCTGTAGCAAGGCTTAAGACAGCGCTAGCTGTTGTGTGTTGTCTACATGTGTGTGTGCCACGCCTCAACACAACAGGTGCAGGAAAATCCACCCTCATGCTCGCGCTGCTGCGGTTGGTGGAAGCGTCTTCGGGGAGCATTCACATCGATGGTGTGGACATTGCATCGCTGCCCCTCGCCACCCTGCGAAGCAAGGTGGGCTTCTGCCGCGCCTTAGAAGCTGACTTGTGAGTTTTGGGAATTCTCAAAAGCGACTCACAAGTCTTAAGGAAACATCTCTACATTGATGATGTGGACATTGCATCTCTGCCATTCACCACCCTGAGAAGCAATGTAAGCAACCAGTTGCCTTTCCGTCCAATTGTTGGATAACTCGCCCGAAGTTTACAAGCATAATCTGACTAAAACTTCTGAGTTTGATTTCCAACGGTCTCCCCTGTTGCAGGTGGTGGCCATTCCTCAAGAGCCGGTTCTCTTTAGCCAGTCATTGCGATTCAACCTTGATCCCCTGGGGTATGGCTGCTCACAATGACCATGATTCTCTCTGACCAGGAATTTGGGACGCTGTTGAAACTCCGTGCCCTTTCTGTGGCGTATGTCCAGCTGTACATCTTCTCACTGTCCCTCACATGTGTACTCTCAGTCACTCACTCGATCTCTTGTTCACTTTCACCCTCCGAAACCCCGCTTCATCCCCCCCGTTCCCTCCCATCCTCCCCTTCATCCCTCCCAACCCCCCTGACAGCCAGCACAGTGACGAGGCCCTGTGGTCGATGCTGGCAATGGTGCAGCTAAAAGGTACCCTCCCATCCCGCACTTCACCCCCCAACCCTCCATGCCCCATCACAGGCAGCACAGTGACGAGGCCCTGTGGTCGGTGCTGGCAACGGTGCACCTAAAGCCGCTGGTGGCGGGGCTGCTGGGGGGGTTAGAGGGTGCCCTGGCTCAGGGCGGGGGGAACCTCTCCCTGGGGCAGAGGCAACTGCTCTGCCTCGCAAGGTACGCCCAAGGGGAATGCGTTGGGCCAATCACAGTGCAGGTCTTATCTGTGTCTCAGAACTGTGTATTGGCCGAAACGCGCAGTTATGATGCAGTACATATTCTGCTTGCTTCTTGTTCCTGGTATTTGTTTTCCATACAGAGCGTTGCTGGCATCAACACGCGTGTTGCTGATGGATGAAGCGACAGCGAGCATGGATGGGGAGAGCGATGCAGCGATCAAATCCATCCTGCGGGAGTCATTCAAGCACAGCACCGTCATCACCATTGCACACCGGCTCTCCACGGTTCTTGATTACGACCAGGCAAGTCAGAAGAGTGTTGAATGTGCCCCTTGCTCACGTCCATGTATGTGTGTGCGCACACCCATCATGCCCACGTCTGTGAGTGCATGTGCGCACACCTTCGTGCCAACGTCTGTGAGTGCATGTGCGCACACCTTCATGCCAACGTCTGTGAGTGCATGTGTGCACACCTTCATGCCAACGTCTGTGAGTGCATGTGCGCACACCTTCATGCCAACGTCTGTGAGTGCATGTGCGCACACCTTCGTGCCAACACCCTACGCACGCACACCCCACGCCTCCTTACGCGTGTCCTCCCTTGGTGCACACGTCGGACCTGCTAAAAAACTTATATTTTCTGGTTCATCCAAAATCAATTCCCTTTTCTCAGGTTCTTGTCTTGGAACTTGGGCAACTCACTGAGTTTGGAGCACCCGAGGATCTGAGAAAAAACAAATCCAGTGCTTTCTCTAGTATGCTAGCAGAAAATACCTCTGAGCAAATGTAAACGCAAATGGTAATTGGGAGAACAAATCATTTACGTAAGCTTTATTTGTGCCAGAGGCTTCTATTTCCCTGAAGTGAAATGCCACCTCACAGGGAAACTGGCTCTAAGGCTTGGCCCCCAAACCCGAGACTATTTACCCCCTAGTTTTGTTCTACATAGCAGTCAGTGGGGAAGTAGGCTTGGGAATCTCTTTCACTACACCCCCTACTGTCATCCCTCCATACTACCCACCTACCCACACCCAATACCGCACCCCGAATCTCTGTTCTCCCCACCTCTGAGTACAGCATCAAACTTGCATACTGTTCAGAAATTTGTACTTAAATTTGCTTTCATACCGAGACATACATCTCCGTTACTAATGAATCAATTTCTAGACATGTCACTTGGGGTGTTGTATGTTGCATGCATACCGTACCGTATGATCTGGTTAGTCACTAGAATACCAGCCGACATTGAAACCAACCTGATTTCGTGCGAATGCAATGCTTTTCAGGCGGTGAAGAGCAGACCATCGAAAATCCTCACACAACATCCTCCCCTGTTTCACTCAGTTTTTTCACACCCAAGCAGCTGAAGCCGGAACCTTCATCTTCGTGGTGAAGGCCAGTTCATCGCCTTCGATCGACTCGCATGACTCATCACTCTCAGACCGCTTCAAGTCCGACTTCTCCGACTCTCTCACGATCAGCCGCTTGATGAACGGCGGGAAGAACGGCCATAGTCGTTGCCGGAGCTCGGGCAGCCGCCAATCGTCGCACGTGACTACCCCGCGGCAGATCGACGCGCCGCAGTGGCAACTGAAATTATCGCTGCTGGTGCGGACGACGCCTGCGTTCGCGCTACCGTAGTCAATGCTCAACTCTTCGCCCGGCGCTATGCTCCGCATGGCCACTATCGTCACCGAGTCTTCCAGTCCGCAGTTAGGGTCGCACGAGTGGTTGATAAAGTCGGGCGTCTCGGGCCCACGCTTCGGATCCGGCACCTGCCAGAGGTGGTCGTTGACTCGCAGCGAGAGCTCTCGCGTGCGTTCGTCACTTCCTAGGAGATAATCGAGGCCGACAAGCTTGCCGGCGAAGACGAGAAGCGGTTCGCCACGTCGGATGCTCGCCAATGCGAACAGCCCCTTGGAGGCGTCCGCGCCGCGACCTTTGTAACGAGTCACCACGCGCGGGTCGTACCACCCCGACTCGGCCATCTTCCGCTCGATATAAGCCGAGCAGTGCCCTGCGAACCGTCGCTGCCAGTCGTGCGAGCGCCACTCGGTGAATGTGAGCGTTCCGCGGCAGCACGCGGCGCCGCAGCGGCAGCGCAGGCCGGCGTGCATGCTACCCTCCGTCTCCGTGCAGGCATAGTCGTACGTGACGTGCTCGCCCGGCTGAATGTCTCGCAGGGCGACCATGCAACGCGGGTTAGCGTACCATGTGTTGGGGTCGCACGAGTGGTTGTAATAAAAGCTCGGATCGTCCTCGGGGTCGGCTGTCGTGTCGTACAAGTCGTCACCGACCATGTACGCGTAGCGAATCATTGTCTCGCGCTTCTCCTTATCGGGTTCCGCCGATAAGTCTGAAGCGTGGTACCCGCGAATCTCTCCTTCGTCCCAATCGCAAACGACCTCGCCTTGTGCGATAAAGCTGTGCGCGAACAGCCCGCGGCATTGGAAACCGTAGAGCTGGTGCTCTTGCACGACGATGTGCGGGTGGAGACCCATGCTGAGGATCAGCCTGTTGGGCTGAGGAACGGGTGGGCAGGGTGGTATGTTGTGCGAGAGCGCGCTGTTGGTATCTCGTTGATGGAATGTGGGTGGTATGTTGTGCGAGGTGGGAATGCGCTGAAGTTCCTCGTCGCTGAGACTGATTATAACTCGGCGTTATACTGGAGGCATTGAATGCCTCTCCTGGAGCACAACTAAGACAACAGGCAGAGGCATCTCGTTGATGGAATCTAGAGTTTCTTCCTTCCGAGTAATTAATTCGGGTAGGGGACCTGTGAGACGGCCGATGGGATTACCAAAGATCTTGCAGAAAACAGGGAACGGAGACAACCAATGAATCATTGACGTGTGGCAATTATTTGCTTCTTTTTTCTTTCCTGGGAATGACCACGGCGTGTAAGATAGCCCTCAATAGGACGGTGCGCTTGAAATTGTGGGCAGGCAGGCTCTGAAATCATGGGTGGGCCATGTACATCAGGTCCCAACAGTTTATTGTGTGCCGATGCGTCACAACCAAGTGCTTTGTCACCGAAGGCACGAATGGCCCAGGATTCCCCTGAGATATCTACCACTCGGACGAAAACACAACGTTCCAGCATTCGACCCCTCAAGCAGCACCGCGTCGCAGTCAGGCCTCATGGTGTCTGGGTCAGGCCTGTCGAAGTCCCTGGGACCAAAACTTTGAGTCCTGAGCTGTTCGAATTCTTGCCCTGATTTTCACGGGGGAAGGAAAAAAACAAAACTGGAAGTCAGCGCTTCTTAGGTAAGTGTACTTTGGCCCTAATGTAACTCAGGAGGATTTTGTTCCTCTTACTTAGCCGGAAAAGGTACACACAAACTACTCATCTGCACGCTTTCAGCCTCTACATCGTCCGCAAAAACACCGTCGGCAAAAATGTCGGGTAGTGGGGGTTGGGGGGGGAGGGGATGGCGGCGGGAATTCGGGTGGGGGGGGGGGGGGTCTCCTTCAAAACAGAAACCAAAACTTTGATTCAGGGGAAGACCCAAACGAGGCCCTTAACTGTCACGGGTGCCATGCCTATCTAACACTTTATATGGTTGAGCCTCTCGAAACGTAGGCCGGAATGTTCAGGGCATTAAGGGCAAATGCCCTTGCTTCTACAGCCCTGGTCTGGGTGTGGTGAGGGGGTGCCATACTTTTTTCTGTTCTGGATCATACGTGGTTTTTTTTTTTTTTTTTTGATGCAAAGATACACTATAAGTGCAACAATACATCGGCAGTCGTAACTGTAGCTGATGGGCTTAGGGGGATTGCTCCCTCCGTACCCATCCTGACCATCTAAGGGGGGCGGAAGGCAGCCCTCGGGTTCGACCAGATTGCCATGAACCCCTTGGACCACGTGGCTGGTTGAGCTGAGTTGTCCATGATGTGGCCCAAGACCCGGCACTCGTCATCATCCAAGCCAGGACGAATGGCGCCGAGCCTCTTAGACACCGCCTTAGCACGCTTGTAGATCCTGACATGCAGTTGGAAAGACGCCACGATCCTCCGCAGAGCCCTCCTCGCCCGGAATTTGCTGCGCTCGAAAACCGCGTCACACCTCTCGACCCAAATCCGGTGGAACGCGATTGCTGCGATCGTAGCCTCGGGGAACCCCGAAGCTGTACCCTCCTTCCTGAAAAACACATCCCCCAGAGACTCAATTTTCCGATGCGGATTCAGCATGCGGAGAGCCTTCAAAAGCGCCCGTACCACCGGCTGAATGCGCGGGCAGAGAAACAACCCGTGCTCCAGTGTCTCCTTCTCCCCGCAGTGCGGGCAGGCGACTCCGGCGCCAAGGAAATGTAACCGCTCCCCCACCTGCAGGTTCCGGCTGTGGATCCGGAGCATCACATCCCGCGCACGGTTCGGCAGAGCTGACGAATCCCGTACCCCGATCACTCTCCCCCAGTCGATCGTACGGCCGAGAGACTCCTCCCATGTGGTCTGCTGCTTCGGTTTTCCGCCAAACCGCTTAAAACCTTCCTTTAGTTGTCTTAGCTGCGCCGGCCGATCACCCACCCAGATGGGGGAGCACAGCAGTCTTGCCCTGGGGGCACCCGCCGGGCCAAGGAACCGACCATCCCTGACCACTGCAGGCACCACCTCGTGCGGCAGAAAATTGCGCAACCTCTCCTCAGCCTCCTCCAAGGCCCCCCTGAAACACTTGATGGCACGGCAAACTAGGGTTTCGCCTTCCACACTCTCAATCCTCCAGACCCCGTAGCTCGTCCCCGCCTTTAGTACGAACTTAGAAGCCGTTAGCACCGTGCGCGCTGTGACAGGCGCCATGAGCAACTGCTTCCATTCATCCGGAGCAGCATCGTATACCCTCTTCGCCAGCTTCGCTCCTTCCGATCCTCCGAAAGCCCGCTCGAGCTCCTGGGGAGTTTTCAGAGTTCTCGATCCGTCCACAGCAACCTTGATTAAGTCACCCATCACCGAGCGCTTCAACGACTTAGCCGGCTTCTGCCGTCCCGCGGGCGTCTTCCCGTTCAAAAGCAGCCGGCGGTTAAAAAGCAACATCTCCTGCTCCACCTCCCATACGGACGATACGCTGATGCATGAAGGGAAGTTGGACTCCAGGAATAGCTCGCATGTCCGCTTCCACCTCTCACATCTTCCTTCCCACTGCTTTATCAACCCCGCGTGGGCCCAGAAAACCTGTAGGTCAGGAACATCCAAAGCCGCGAGCGCCAGATCAGCACGCAGTCCCAGTGGTTGCGACGCCAGCAACGCGATCCTCCTGGCCGCCAGACCCCCCAGCTCCGCACAGGGATCCCGGACGCCTAGCCCGCCTTCCCCTCTTGCTTTAAACAGCAGCTCCTGACTCCAGAGCGCGAAGTGCTTCCCTGCCGTCGAGTGGTTACCCGTGACGAAATTGTGAAGCAGCTTCACCAGCTTCGCCCAGATTTCCGAAGGAGGAGGGTAGACCTGCGCCTGGAAAGCGAGGATTGGGTTGATGTACCCGTTGACCACCGCGACTCTTCCGGATGTCGTCAGGTAATGTATTTGCCATTCCACCAGCTCCGCCGTTGCACGTGACAGGGTGATTTCCCAGGTCACCGATGCATCCCCCGAGGGTGAGATCCACACCCCCAGGACTCTTTCCGCTTCGTTCAACCGTACCCATTTGAAAGCTGACGCCTTGTCTGGTTTCTTGCGCAGGTTCTTTCCCAGGGGCAGGAGTGCAGACTTGTCGTTGTTTACCCAAAGACCTGACTTCTCACCGAACTCATTCAGCAGCTTCACCGCCCGGCCAATCTGCCTCTTCCCTTTGAGCACCAGCGTGGTGTCGTCGGCATACCCCAGGTACGCAAGCCGATCCCCGTACGGATTACTGATTCCCAGTTTCCTCCTTATTGCTTCCTGGCAGAGGGGCTCCACCGCGCAAAGGAAGAGATAGGGTGCCAGCGGGCAGCCCTGCCGTACGCCCTTCCTGACCGCCACCGGTTCTCCCAGCCAACCATTCAGCAACAGCCTCGTCGTCGATCCAGCATGGAGCCCTTCGCACCACTGTACGAACTTCCGCGGGAAACCCATCCTCGCCATCGTGCCGAAAAGGTATTCCCGAGAGACCGAGTCGAAAGCCTTCTGGAAGTCCACCAGAAGCAAGTACCAATCCGCGTCTTTGCACTTCGCCGCGTCAACGATGTCCGCAACCAGCGAAACCCCGTCAGCCAGCCTTCTCCCTGGTAAGAACCCAAACTGTTCCTCCGAAATGACCGTATGCAACACTTTCCGCATCCTGTTCGCCAGCACCCGCGCTACTAACTTGTACGTGCTATTGAGCAGCGTGATCGGCCGGTAGTTTTGCACTTGATCCTTCGCGCCCTTCTTGTGCAGCAGGACAGTGACAGCCTCCAAGGCAGCAGGAGGAAGAACGGCCGTTTCCTCAAACTGCTTCGCGAATCCGAGCACATCACCCCCTAGCGAGTCCCAGTGTTGGCTGAAAAACTCCTTCGGGATTCCGTCAGCGCCGGGAGACTTGCCCTTCGCCATGCCGTCAAGGGCCTCCTTCACCTCCGCTTCAGACCAGTCCGCTACCAACAGCTGCGATTGCGCCTCACCCAGCTTCTTGCCAGGAGCGACCGGCCAAAACGTGCTGTCCGCTGTCGGGGTAGGTTCCGAGAACA